ATAGTTGCATTTCTCGCGGAATTTATTTCAAAATTCATTGTATTAAAAATAATTGGAATCCTGCGATGAGTTTTAATATTTATAAAAATAATTGAATTCTTTCAACGATTATTATTAATATTTAAAAAAATAATTGAATTCCTGAGTAGAATTTTATTGTTTATAAAAATAATTTATAGCTTGCGAAGAATTTTATAAAAATCTATTTAAATAATTGACTTTTTTCCTAAAATATTAGGAAAATTCTGTTTTAAATAATAGAATTTCTGTGAGATTTTTTTTTTTCATGAAAATAATTGAAAGTTTGTGAAGAATTTTATAAACATTTTTTTAAAATTATTCAATTCTTTTGGAAAATTTTTTATTAAAATAGTAGATATTAAAAATCATTGAACTACGAAAAATTTGTGAAAATAATTGAATCATTTTAAAGAATTTTATTCAAATTTTTTGAATTTTTGCTACAATTTTAAAAATATTTCTACAAAAAAAAATTTTTTTTTTAGTTTTTTATACTTAGAAAGAAATTTTTTTTTTAATTTGAAAAATTTGAAAATAATTTTAAAAAATTCTGATAAGAACTGTAAAAGAATTACAATTAAAAACAAATGGAAATTGATTTGTAACTTTCTTTACATACAAATAAAATAACTTATATGCAGATATAACTATTAGACGTTTATAACTTTACTTCACCTATTTATTCACATACAGTGAATTTATTTACATAGAATGAATATTTAAAAAAAAATTTATTTTTCCAGAGGTAATTTATGAAGAGAAAAAAATTTCTAATTTAAAATATACATAAATGCATAGTTTTTTTATAAACGTATACGCACATTTATTTATATAATGATATTTGAAATAACTAATAATAATAATTACTATTATTATTTACGTAATACATATTTGAAAAAAAAACTTTACAACTCTCTTGTTTTTATCAATTTTCTTATAATATTTCTAAAAATAGAATACTTATTAGCGATGCTTTTTTGTAATTTTCGTAATAAAGAATAAAAACTAAATTTGTTTGTTATAAAAAAATGTATATACATATGTATAAACCTTAAAGTTAGTGAAAATCTAAAAATCTGAAAATCAACTAATAATCTAAAAAATCTTAAATTTCTAATTTTGCAACCGAAAAAATCCCTGAGAAAGAAAATTTGTAAATAAAAAGTGTTTGAATATAAAGGAAAAACTATTGGAAAAGTGAATTTTTTAATTTTATTCGACATATTGGTTCGGACATTTTAAAGTTCGAAAATCTGATGCACTTTCAAAGATATTAAAATTTGATAGTCACATTTTCAAAAGTTTTCAAGAAAATGGAGATAAAAATAAATTTACTATTTTAAGGACTCCATAATCCATAAAAAGGACTCCATTTAATTAAATTGTTGTTTAAATATAAAAAATTACGTTCAATTATGTAAATTGTAAATATACAATATACCATCGTCATAAGAAATGAAACAAAGCAATGTTTTCGTGTTTCCTATTCATAACATTCTCTAATTAGTAAAAATAAAATAGAAATTTCCAATTCTTTCACAAGTTTGCCGACATAGCAGTTAATCATATTGTGTAATAATATAATGGAAAATTCTATTTCTTATCGCTTTATTATACTCATTTGTTATATATTCATAATAAATACACACCAGTTAAAAATAAATTAATTGAATTAAAAATGAATCGACTTTTGTTTTGAATTTTTAAAAAACTATGCAGACAATTCAACGGATTTTAAAATGAATTTCATTCTAAAATTAAAAATAACCTTTCCCAATATATTCTCTTTTACAATTCATCGAGATTTATGATTGATCTTTACGATAGCAGATTCATTGAATTTTCGCGACTAAAAAACTTGTTTATATTTTTATAATCTATCAAAAATCCAAGCGATGAATGATGGATGATAATAAATTTTGTGCGTTCTGCGCTTTAGAAAGACTTTTCCATCTTCATTTGAAATATAAATATAAATAAAAGTTTTTAAAATTTTTTTTTAATTTTCTAGTCTATTTGAATAATAATAATAATAGACCCTAATCGACTCTCTAAATCTGAGACAGAATTAGTAGTTTTTTGACTAAAATTCATTTTTAAATCAATTTTTATTATAAAATTCTACGAGAATTCAATTATTTAAATACAAATATAAATAATTTATTTGAATAATTGAATGTTTCTTAAAATTCAATTCTCATAAAGAATTTTATGGACAAAATTTTTTTTAACAAATTTTTTTTTAATAAATTGGAGCTTTTTTATTGAAGAAGAGCTTTTTGAGAAACACGAAGATACTTAGAACTTTTTTAGAATTTATTTCCGACTCAGAAAAAATTTGTCTTTGAAAAACGAAGCTGGTACTAATCAAAATTTTTGAAAATAATTGAAATTTTGCCAAAAAATTTTATTAAAATTTTTGAGAATAATTAAAAATTTTCAAAGAATTTAAAAAATTTTTTTTAATATAATTGAATTTTAGAGAAGAATTTTAATATTTATAAAGATAATTGAAATTCTGCGATAAGTTTTATTATTTAATATAAAAGTAATTAAATTCCTACAAAAAAATTTTATTATTTAGGATTATTATTTATTATTTTATTTTTTTATTATTTTATTATTTTATTATTTTATTATTTTATTATTTTATTATTTTATTATTTTATTATTTTATTATTTTATTATTTTATTATTTTATTATTTTATTATTTTATTATTTTATTATTTTATTATTTTATTATTTTATTATTTATGTTATTTTATTATTTATTATTTTTATTATTTTTTTATTTTATTATTTTATTATTTATGAAAATAATTGAAGAATTGCAAAAAAATTTATAAAAAAATTTGTAAATAATTGAATTCATGTGAAATTTTTATTATTTTAATTTTGAAAAGAATTCTTTAAAATTTTTGAACTTATTCGGAAATTCTTCAATCAAATATATATTAGACAATAAAAACTTCAAATAACTTAAAAAAAATCCATTTAAACTTTTTCAAAAAAATTAAATCATCATAACTTTTAGTTAAAAGTATAAGAAATTCAAACATTGAAAGATTATAATTTGAAACCTTCTCAAAATTCAATTTTTTCTAAAAATTCACGCTATAATAGTTTCTCTATAAATTTTGATTAGTAAAAATGTTTACTAATTGGAATTAGTGACAAATTGTTTGCTTTTGAATTAGTAAATTTTACTATTAAATTAGTAGAAACGACTATTTATTAGTAAAATCTGCTAATTCAAAAACAAAAAGTCTGTCACTAATTCAAATTAGAAAACATTTTTACTAATTCAAATTTAGAGAGTTTAATAATTAATTATTATCTAAAATTTCAACTGAAATTCATATTTAAAAAAATTTTTATTAGAAAATTGTACGAGAATTCAATTATTTAAATGAAAAAATAAATAATTTATTGAAGAATATTGAATGCTTTTTAAAATTCTTTTGACGAATTTCAATTAAATTTTTAAGAATAATTTCATTTTTCGAGAAATTATATTAAAATTTAAAATTGTATTAAAATTAAAAATAATAGAATCTCCTGTAAAAAATTTGATTGAATTGAGAAATGTTTTTGAAAATAATTGAAATTTTACTAAGAATTCTATTAAACTTTTTTAAAATAATTTAATTTCACAAAAAAATTTTAAAATTTACAAAAATAATCGAATTCTTGATCCAAGAATTTTCCAATTTATAAAAATAATTGAATTGTTTCAAAGAATTTTATCAGAATTGTTGAAGATAATTTAATTTTTATTAAAACTCTGGAAATTAATTAAATTTTAATAATATTTTTAAAAATAATTGTATTCTTTTAAGAAATCTTATTAAAATTGTATTAAAAATAATTGAATTCCTCCGAAACGTTTTTCCCCCGAAGAATTTTATTATTAATGAAAATATTTTAATAATTGAATTTTTGCGAATGATTTTACAATTCATATTAAAAATAATTGAATTGTTTCAATGAATTTTATCTGAATTTTTAAAATAATTGAATTTTTTGAAGGAATTTTATTAAAATTTTTCAAAATAATGATTTTTAAAAAGAATTTCATCAAAATTGTTGAAAATATAATTGAATTTTCATAAATTATTGAAATTAATTAAATTTCTACAAAGAATTTTATTAAAATTTTTATTAAAAATAATTGAAATTATGCGATGAGTTTTCTGATTTATGAAAATAATTGAATCTCTGTAAAAAATTGGATTATTTATAAAAATATAATTGAATTATTGCCAAGAAATTTATAAAGAATTTGTAAATAATTGAATTCCTGTTGAAATTTTTATTATTTATGAAAATAATTGAATATGTTTGAGTAGAATTTTTATTCAATTTTTCTTTTTTAATAATGGAATTCTTTTGGAAAATTGAATTATTGCGAAGAAAAAATGGTAAACGCAATTCTTTTAAAATTGAATTAATTTTGAAATATTTAAGAAAAATTAGATTTCAAGAATAAGGACAATAACTTTAAAAAAAAATAATTTTCCAGGATTTCGATAAAAATTTCCTGACTTTTCCAGGTTTTTTTTAAGGTTTATAAAATTCCCTGACATTTCCAGGTTTTCCAGGTTAAAGGTTTTTAGTTTACAAAATGAGGAGCGGTAAATTTTTTTTTGTGAGCGTTGAAAATTCCCAGTTTTACCGAACCTTTCAGTAAAATCTCAGGAATAAATGTGAAATAAAATTCTTTGCTGTAAGCTTTCGGCAATCTGGAAGCAAGCTTCATGTAAGCTTGCGGAAATTTTACCACAATATTGCTGCAAGCTTGCAGCAAGCATACTATGCAATATTGCAGCTAGATTACACAGCAAGCTTCTTATAGTTGGGAATTTTAAATTGTGTTTCCTTTTGGTAAAACTTTCAACTTCAACGTACCCGCACGTTATAGATGAAAATTATGATTTTTCGCGACACATAAATGAAATTAATTGGAAAAAAAACTCACCTGTCCTTGAAATTGAAATCCATGTTTCTCAGCAATGGCAGTGGCAACTTTTTTTCCAGCAGGCACATGAACAACAAAATCCTGTGTGTAAATTGGTTTTGGTCGAGGTCGTGGCTCTGGTTCCGGATCCGCTGAGACAACCAACAAAATCCCAAGCCAGAGTAAAGACACTCTGGGGTTCATCATACCTTGAAAGAGACTCTTTGGAAACTCTCAAGATTCCTCACCGATTACTTTTCGTTTCACTTCACAATCGTGACAATGACGCTAATTGGCTTTGAGAATTTCACCAAAATGATGAGAGAGAATCGTTCGGAAATTTCACCGTCCTTCTCTCGTATTCAATAATATCGATCCTTGTATTTAACGTATCCACATGACCACTTTGCCGAGTTCTCGTGAACATTCGTATACTGGTCTTTGTTCAAAAACCTTTTTTTTCTTTTTTATTTCTTCAAGATTTATCTTTTTTTATTTAAGAAATAAAAGACGAGGCAATCATTTATTTATTCCCTTTTGTTCCTATCGCACGTCGAAATTTTTGGTCGATGCTATACTTTCTGACTTCGGGTGGGGATTTTAAGCGTCTTATCTGAAAGAAAAAGAAAAAATATATATATAGTTGAGTTTTCTGTACTTTCTTTTTGAAATCGAAAGATTTTCGATTGTCTTTTCTGGTTAAGGAATGAGAAAGAGTAAAAGAGAGAAAGAAAGAAAGAAAGAAAGAAAGAATGAAAGAAATAAATAAAAGGATGGAGAAAAGGGTTAAAGCGAAACTCAATCCGAGGATATCAAGAGAGTTAGAGCAGAGAAATATATATATGGGTGTGTGTTGGTGTTACTCGTAAACGCGTTAAAATTTCAGCCGCTTCCGCTTCTCTAGTGAGAACTCGGAATCGGAGCTTTCTGGTGAATGCGGAAGGACGTGCGAAGAACTGGGAGAAAACTCGTAATCTAATTTTGCCTTTCTGGTGTGTGCGCGAGCTGATTCGGATATAAAGCGGAAACACGCGATAGTTTCGCAAAACAAGAGAGCGACTTTCCGACGCCTTCAGCAATATCGAAACTTTTATACACACAATCATTGTACGTTCAAAGTCAAATTGACAAAGAATACAAGAGCTTTCAATTTTACTCAAAAGAAACTATTTTCTTTATATCGTAAAAAAAAGGCGTATTCTACTTTTAGGATATATTTAAAACTATCATCTCATCACCATTCAAGAATACACTGAAAGACTTTGGGAGTTTCAAAATTTAGTAAATGATTATTTCAAAAAGGGAAAAAAGACGATCTACTAAATATTGCTTTAAATCAATTATGAAAATTATTTGACTCAATAATCCATGATTTTTAATTCAATTAAATATTTATTTACATCAATAAAATAATTTTTGTAAAGTAACTAAACATTTATTTGTATCAAATATTCAATTATTCATCATAAATAATTCTTTTAATTCTTTAATTTAATAAAAAAATTTTTTAATTGCGTCAAATAATTCATTATTTAGTCCAAATACAAAATTTATTTGCATCAAAACCAAAATTTTTTATTTAAATAAATCTCAATTTGTATTAAATAATATATTTGCATTGAATAATGCATTATTTGAATTAAAATAATTTAGTTTACTTGAAGCTATAAAATAAATTAATTGTATCAAATAATGTTTATTTATATCAAATATCCAATTAGTTTTTTGAAGTGAAATAAATAAGTTAATTGTTTTAAATAACTCATTATTTGTATTGGATAAATTTATTTATTAGAGTCAATTAATTTATTTAATTGACCCAATTAAAGATTTATTTGATTCAAATAAATGTGATTCAAACAATTCAAGTTATTTGAAGCAAATAAATATTTATTCGATCCAAATAAAAATTATTTGAATCAAATAATTTCAATTAATTGAATCAAATAATTAGTTTTGCAAAATTAATAATTAAAATTATGAAATCTATTCAAAATTTAATTATTTCTAAAAATTCACTCATTAACATTAAGGCTTTTAATATATTCAATTATTATGTAAAATTTTAACTGAAATTCATTTTTAAATAAATTTTTATTCAAAAATTCTACGAGAATTTTAATTATTTAAGAAAGAAAATAAATAATTTATTAAATATTTCAATGTTTCTCAAAAAATTAAATCTTATTAAAAAATTTAATTAAAAAAATGTTTAAATATTAAATTCTTTTGACGAATTTTAATACAATTTTTAAGAATAATTTCATTTTTCTAGAAATTCGATTAAAAATTTATTAAAAATTATTGAATCCTGTAAAAACATTGATTTTTTTAAATAATTGAATTATTGCGAAGAAATTTATAAAAAATTTATAAAGAATTGAATTTCTGGAGAATTTTTATTATTTATGTCAATTTATTTAAATAATTAAACGTTTGCATAGAATTTTATAACTATTGAAAATAATTGAATTTCTGCAATTATTTGTAACTTCTCCAAAATTCAATTTTTTTAATTGTTTTCAACTAAAATTCTTCTGTAAATCTAAAATTTTTAATAACTATTTAAATATCAAAATTCTATTATTTCTAGAAATTCATTCCATTCTGCTTTTAATATTCAATTATTGTTATCTAAAATTTCAACTAAAATTCTACGAGAATTAAATTATTTAAATACAAAAATAAATAATGTATTTAATAATTGAATATTTCTTAAAATTGAACAATTGAAATCTTTTGACAAATTTCAATTAAATTTTTAAGAATATTTACATTTTTCGACGATTTTGATTAAAATTGTATTAAAAATAATTGAATCCCTGTAAAATATTTGATTATTTATGAAAATAATTGAATTATTGTGAAGAAATTTATTAAAAATTTGCAAATAATTGAATTCCTGTGAAATTTTTTTCGAAAAATTAAATTCTTTTGTAAAATTTTATTAAAATAGTCGATATTAAAAATCACTGAATTAAGGAAATTTTTTGACAATAATTGAAATTTTGCCAAAGAATTTCATTAAAATTTTTCGAAAATAATTGGATTTTCTGTGAAATTTGAAAATAATTGAAAGTTTGCGAAGAATTTTATCAAAATTTTTTTTAAATAATTAAATTCTTTTGGAAAATTTTATAAAAATAGTCGATATTGAAAATCATTGAATAAAGAAAGATTTTTGAAAATAATTTAAACTTTAACAAGAATTTTAATAAAATTTTTAAGAATAATTACATTTTTCGAGAAATTTGATTCAAATTGTATTAAAAATAAATTAAAATTCTGCAATGAGTTTTATTGTTTATGAAAATAATTCAGTTCCTAAAAAGAATTTTATGATTTACGAAAGTAATTAAATCTCATCTGTTAATATTTTATTATGTATGACAATAATTTAATTATTGCGAAGAAGAAATTTATAAAAAATTTGTAAATAATTGAATTCCTGTGAAATTTTTATTATTTTATAAAAAAAATTAAATGTTTGGGTAGAATTTTATCAAATGTTTTTTGAATAATTAAATTCAAATTTTCTTATTGTTTTCAGCTTAAATTCTTCTATAAATCCATTATTTTCAATAATTAATTAAATACTTATATTAAAAAAATTCAACTAATTTCAGAAGAATTTGAATTATTAAAATTTTTCAAAAATTTTAATTGTTTAAAATTAATTCTAATGAAATTAATTGATAATTGAATTCAACGATATATTATTACTTGCGAATCGTAAGATGCAACAAAAGTGAAAAATGTAAGTTACTGCGGGTGGGTGCTTGTTAGAATGAAAGTTGTAATTATAATCCAAAAATTAATGAATTTATGTCACTGATTAATATATAAATCGAATTTTTCCAGTTTTTGTATTTCGTCATAATCGTATTATAACGGTATTTGGTGTTGCGAGAGGAGGGTTTGGACGTAATTCTGAAACGTCCCGCAGCAGTTGATCATCATCACAACGGCTATTGTGTATCAAACGAGCCCGTGCAGAAATTTTGACCGGGGCCATGGCACTTTGCCCGATCTGGCCGCCCTGTCGGGACCCGGTCGGGGCCATGGGATTTCCCCCGATCTTTTCGCTACCCAGGTAGAATTCCAATACTGACTGCATTTTATTATATTAAAGCTTGTTATTTGATTATTAAAGAATGGGGAGTATTTACTTCAATATTAATGATTATTATTAATATTTTTGTAGTAAATAAACTTTTATGAGTGTCATTAAAAATGTAAATAGTTATTAGAATTGCTTTTATTGGACTAAGTTTTTAAAAAAAATATTTTTCTTATTTTCTTTCATTAATTTAGACAGACTATCTTATTTAAATTAATAATTATTTATAATTATTATTATTGTTAATAATTATTTAAACCTATACTTTATGTAACATTATTAAGAATTATACACAAAACACTTAAAACTAAGACGGAAAAATATCGCACGCACGGGGGACCGAACCCTAGACCTCGAGGACGCAAGTCGAATACACATACCGCATAGCCACGCAAGCTTGGAAGCGACCTCGCTTAAACTTCCTTTTGAATCATGGGACCGTTATATACAGTGTTATCATAATAAATTGACTGTATCATATTTATTTATAGAAAAATTATTAAAAATGTATGTTATATATATATATATATATATATATATATATATATATATATATATATATATATATATATATATATAAATTAATATGTTTATCATAATAATATGGTAAAAATTGTTAATTTAATTATTTATTCTATATTATTTATAATTTAACTATTTTTTAAAATAATAAAAATTTTTTCATTATTAATAATTCACAATAATACTAAAAATTATTAATTAATAATAATTTATTTTTTTGCCTTAAACATGGAATTTCAATTTAAGTGTGAAAAACAATTAAGAGTTTTTAAGAGTTATAAATGTCAAAAATAATATGTTAATATTATAACCACAAAAAAATTTAACATTTTAGGCAATATTTTTGGTTATCACCATGATAACATCGACAAATGGTTCACCTTCGACAATTGGTGCGTTTGTCCTATTGTTTTAAATTAAAGGAGAATAAATTCTTAAGACATCCCTCGAGGACAATTTTTGAGTTTTTAATTGTTTATAATTTTTATTTTCAAATTTCAATCAAAGTTAACAAATTAACACAATTTTTTAAAAACGGACGTTTATTTTCTTATTCCGTTACTGCACATGCTCTAAATCAGTTCAAATTAATCCAATATTACCAGCAGACAATTAAAAACCCATAAAGTAATATATTTCAATTGTCATAAACAACATTAATTAACAAATAGTTAACTTATGATCCTGTCCAACAGAAAATTTTTGTTGCAAATTTTCTTTTTTACTTAGGTTCTTTTAAAGAATATATGTCTTTTTTGCTTATAATATAACTTATTTAAATATTTAATATTATATATCCGTGGTCTTTTAACATTATCTAAATAAAAAAGTAAACGTGAAAAAAAAATTTTTGGTGGAAAGGAACAAAAATTAACTATTTGTTAATTAATATTATTTGTAACCATTTAAATAAGTTATTTTTTAAACAAAAAGGACACATATTTTTAAAATGAACTTAAATTAAAAAGTAG